CCAGAGGCACTTGATCAATACCAGTATGAAATCATATCAATGCCACGGCAATCACAGACCTGCCTAACAGTGGCGAGAACGTCAAAATTATGGCAGTTGATCTCACTCTGAGGAACTCAATACTGTTCATCTTCAATGTATACAGGAGTCATAGAGAACACGATATGGATCTCTCTGCAATCTTGAAATAGCAGTCACCACACCTACGATCATCTCGGGTGACTTCAACGCTCATAGTGAATTACTATTTCACCAAGAACAGAAGCCAACTAAAGACATATTGAACACTCTTTGGATGAAGTGCCTGAAGTCAGTCTGCTTAACTCGACGGAACCAAGTACCAACCCACACTGGTGGGGGGAAGCTGGACCTCACGTTTGTCTCCACCAGTATATATGAGTTGTGTCACTGGTCAGTGGATCATGTTCTGACTAGTGACCACTTTGCTACAAGAACAGTTATTAATATAGCACTACCTCCTAGACCTCCAGCTCCTGAGCCCGGATGGAACTTTATCAAGGCAGATTGGACGAAGTTTCAGGAATCTCTCAAAACTTGGCACCAAAACTACACTCCTCCTGACAACACCGAACAAATGGAAAAAGATTTAGTAAATGCAATACATAGAGCAGCAAATCACGCCATCCACAAGAAGAAAACAATTACCCAACAACCTAAGGACCATTGGTATTACTGTGATAGGATAAAAAAAACTACATAACAGACTAAATTGTACACGAAAGAATTTCAGGAAAGATATAACAAAACTAATCTAGGACTTCTTAGAGCTGTCCGAGATCATGTGCACGAAGAAACAGTACAAATCAAGAACGGAAAATTGCTTGAATGGTGTGCCAAGCTAACGCAGCATACGTCCTTGGACGACATCTGGAGGCAGATCAACAAGGTGCCAAGCTAACGCAGCATACATCCTTGGACGACATCTGGAGGCAGATCAACAAGGTGCCAAGCTAACGCAGCATACGTCCTTGGACGACATCTGGAGGCAGATCAACAAGGTGCCAAGCTAACGCAGCATACATCCTTGGACGACATCTGGAGGCAGATCAACAAGGTGCCAAGCTAACGCAGCATACGTCCTTGGACGACATCTGGAGGCAGATCAACAAGGTGCCAAGCTAACGCAGCATACATCCTTGGACGACATCTGGAGGCAGATCAACAAGGTGCCAAGCTAACGCAGCATACATCCTTGGACGACATCTGGAGGCAGATCAACAAGGTGCCAAGCTAACGCAGCATACATCCTTGGACGACATCTGGAGGCAGATCAACAAGGTGCCAAGCTAACGCAGCATACATCCTTGGACGACATCTGGAGGCAGATCAACAAGGTGCCAAGCTAACGCAGCATACGTCCTTGGACGACATCTGGAGGCAGATCAACAAGGCCAATAGAAAATCGCATCCTGGTCTGCCGCATCATGTTCATCCAGAGCAAGAAGCAGAAAGTTTTAACAAATCTATTTGCTTCAAGAGCCAGTTCCACTCAACTTCCTCAAGCAACTCTGACTCACCAACAAAGACTGCAAGCAGCAAGATGGAAAAAAAATAGACGATGCTTTTGCCTTACCTGACGAACTAGACCAACCTTTCAATCTGAATGAACTTATAAGAGTGACAAAGAAAACTAAAAACCCAGCTCCAGGTGAGGACAAAATCACTTACAACATGCTGGCCAAGCTAGGAGAAAAGGGTGAAGAAGCCTTCTTGAGTCTCGTCAACAGAGTATGGGTGACAAGAACTCGGCCACTCTCTTGGAACAGTGCAATTATAGTTCCCATTCCAAAGACCCAGGAAATCCAAGACCCATCTCATTAACAAGCTGTTTGGTCAAAACTGTGAAGAGAATGGCTCTTAATCAAATTGGCTGGAAAGCCAATCCACTGCGTCAAAATATGTTTGCTTACAGAAAAGGTGTTGGAACCACAGAATGCCTTACCTCCCTCCTGGATAAAATCAATGACAAACCTGGAACCGTATTTTTATAGACCTAGAAAAAGTCTTCGAGTTAGCCAATGCACCAGCTACACTGTGCTGCCTGGTAGATAAGGAAATCAAAGGACACGCTCTTAACATTGCCAAAGGAAGACTGCTTAATCGAGACGCTAAAGTCAAATTCCAAGGAAAAACATACTCCTCAATTAGGATGGAAAATGGCACTCTGCAGGGAGGAATACTCAGCCCTTCCTCTTCAACTGTCTCATGGAACAATTCATGACGCTCAAATTACCAAGAGCTAAACTGCTTAACTATGCAGGCGACTTTGTGGTCATCATCAATGACAAAGTTGCCAGGAAGCATGCACAAAAATGTCTAGACATCATCAGCAGGGAAGCGGAACGTATATCAGTGTAAATAAACAGCAATAAAGCCAAAGCAATGACCGTTAAAAGGAGAACTCAAGACATCAGACTCGCATTACAAGGACACGGAATTGAGTGGAGTACCTTTTTTCAATACCTTTGAGTCATAATAGACAGCCAGTTGAAATTCACTCAAGAAATTGAATATTTTCGGCAATGTTGTAAAACCAGAAACTCAGCTTTACACTCAATGACCAGTCTTAGAGGTAGTGCATCTCTACCAGTACTCAAAATGTACTACATTCAAGCAGTTAGGTCACTCATTGACTATGCTGCTCCTGCTCTTACATCCCTCAGTGATAACCAATGGGAGAAACTGGAAGTGTCTCAAAATGATGCCCTCAGTGATAACCAGTGGGAGAAACTGGAAGTGTCTCAAAATGATGCTCTCAGAACAATGCTGGGAGCACCTATATAGACGCGTCGAGAGAATTTAAGAATGGAAACCAACTTACCAGTCTTAGAAAACAGGATCAAACAAAGAATGGCCACCATAACAGCACAACTTGTTGGATCCACCGCCAGACTGTCAATCGAAAATAGCATACACAGATCGCTTCACAGAAATCTTCAATATAGAACAAGTGCATGGACGGATAATCTGGTCAAGATTCTAGAGAAAGTGGACTTGAAATGAACCATTAAAAACAAAGATAGATAGACCATATCAACACTTTCGGCAGCCTCCTCCATGGAAAGATTCGAGTTTGAAGATAATTATTGAAGGATTACCAGTTGAAAAATTAGCATGTGACTCACAGAGGCTCAAAGCAGTCATAGAACAAGTGGAAACTCAAGACCTACAACGACTCACATCTTCACAGATGGATCAGTTGATCAAGAAAGAGGTTCTGCTGGGGCAGCAGTTTACACTACCAACCATGAAGCTTACTGGAGCATGAATAGTGGGTGCTCAACATTGCAAACAGAATTATATACCCTGAAGGGAGCTATACTTTGTACAATTGAGAATAATTTACATGATATCATCATTCATACCGACTCTAAATCTTCGCTCCAGGCATTGTTATCCAGCTACCACAGAGATAATATACAACTCATCACAGAAATGCTACATATAGGAAAAGAAGCACACAATCTAGGGCTGTCAATCACCCTAAATTGGTAACCAAGTCACATTGGTATATATGGTAATGAAAAGGCAGACTCACTAGCAAAACCTGTCACTGCTCTACCTGTTGTTCAGGTTAAAATACCTCCAAGTTTTTCACAGATTAAGAAGCAAATCAAGAAGAAAATACTCCCAACTATAAAAAGTCGCCACAGAGCCAAAGTAGCAGAAGGAAGATCCACTGCGATATGGTACGAACAAGCCTCTTGTTCTTATTCTTCTTTCAAGCCTGGCAAGAAGATATCCAGAGACCTTGCAGTAGCCATACACAGACTCAGACTTGGTTACAAGTGGTGCTGGGAGGTAATGAACCCAATAGTTAAAGAGTGTCACATCTGTGGAACAGAAGCAGAGGCGCCACTGTTGCTCTACTTACTGGAACGTGAAGCTACTGAAGCCCTGCGCATCAAACTCAACATTCATCCAATAAGAGCAGCTGCATTAGATGCAAATTACACAGTGACTACAATGGTAAGAAAAGCAAACTTCTTGGTTTGGTGCTCATGGGTTCTATTACATCTATGAAGGAAAAGTTTCGGATCCAAATTAGCATTTAGGAACAAGGCTTTGTACATGTAGATAGCACATGAGAAAGTGAGGAGTGAGTGTATGTTTAGCCTGTTAAGGGACTTACACAGAGGGCCTGTGTGTTGTCTGAAGACAGTTTGTTATAGTTCTGATAGCAGATTTTTGCTGAGTGATGATGGGCTTGATGCAATTTCCAGAGGTTGAACTCCATACACAGATATTACATGTAAGATAGGGATAGATTAGCGCATAGTATAATGGGAGGAGAGCAGAGTGGGGAACATAATATCTGATTTTAGAAAGTATACCGACCGTTTTTAAGACTTTTTTGGCTATGTGTTGTATGTGGGTGCTGAAGTTGAGTCTCTTGTCTATGTATAGGCCAACTTTCCTTCATTGTTATTGCTACTTAACATTTTCTATCTGAAGTTGAATTTTATTTGATGATTTACTACCAAATAAAATGTAGTTGGTCTTTCTTATGTTTAATGTGAGTTTGTTGGTTGACATCTATGAGTGGCTTTTTTTTTAATTCACTGTTGACTATATTATATAGTGTGTGTGTGCATCTTCACATGCCATTGTTGACTATATTATATAGTGTGTGTGTGTGCATCTTCACATCCCATTGTACCTTCTGGTATATAAATAACTATATAGTTGCTATAAGGATTATAACTTTAGGAGGAATATATACAGGAAATTAAATGCTAAAATTATTACACACTTCCATAACATTAAACAATGGAATAATATTAACATAAACAATACGACAAATACCCACATGTGCTAAATTCTAACACATTCTATATATACAGTATACATATACACATGCATAGGCAGCAACTCTATAGTTCATCTTACCAAGAAAATACCGAGAGAACATACTACATGCAGGTTTAGCAGGATCATGCTCCCCCCCCCCCACTAGGGAGTCCCTCTCCCTCACTCACTGGATAGAAGAAGCCAAATCTGCCATTGGAATTAGTGGGGTCACCAATGTACTTGGCGAGCTCGGCCAGCAGAGGTTCCTTGTAGCCTCGGAACAGCAGCTCCCCAACACTTCTTGAGATGAACAGCGACTCCTTAAATCTTAAAAATGCTAACTCCGCCATAGCTTGGACTGCCGGCCCCAAGTTCTCAATCTTAGCTGCCACAGTCTGACAGAGAACAAGCACTTTATGCATACAAGACGCTACAAGGGTTATAGTATCACAAGCTGGGAAAGTACAAATGTATTCTACAAGGACATACTATGGTTAAATCTACTGACAAGTTTACATTATATCTGTTAAAACACATGGAGCTATATATATGGCCCAGAACAAACATGTACGACCCTCAGCTAGTATATATATGCATACAAGCAGCGATACACACACACACACACACACACACACACACACACACACACACACACACACACACACACACACACACACACACACACACACACACACACACACACACACACACACACACACACACACACACACACACACACACACACACACACACACACACACACACACACACACACACAAGAGCCCACTGGTCTAGTAATACACAGTTTATTACAAACTATTAATTCAACAATTTACAGTCTAAAATGAGTCAGTTTACGAAACAGTGAAATATACTCGTTACTGCCTCCTGTGACACACAACACTGCCTCCTGTGACACACAGCACTGCCTCCTGTGACACACAACACCACACAAACTATGGCCACAACACCACACAAACTATGGCCACAACACCACACAAACTATGGCCACAACACCACACAAACTATGGCCACAACACCACACAAACTATGGCCACAACACCACACAAACTATGGCCACAACACCGCCTCCTGTGACACACAACCCCACACAAACTATGGCCACAACACCACACAAACTATGGCCACAACACTGCCTCCTGTGACACACAACACCACACAAACTATGGCCACAACACCACACAAACTATGGCCACAACACCACACAAACTATGGCCACAACACCACACAAACTATGGCCACAACACTGCCTCCTGTGACACACAACCCCACACAAACTCTGGCCACAACACCACACAAACTATGGCCACAACACTGCCTCCTGTGACACACAACACCACACAAACTATGGCCACAACATCGCCTCCTGTGACACACAACACCACACAAACTATGGCCACAACACTGCCTCCTGTGACACGCAACACCACACAAACTATGGCCACAACACTGCCTCCTGTGACACGCAACACCACACAAACTATGGCCACAACACTGCCTCCTGTGACACACAACACCACACAAACTATGGCCACAACACCACACAAACTATGGCCACAACACTGCCTCCTGTGACACACAACACCACACAAACTATGGCCACAACACCACACAAACTCTGGCCACAACACCACACAAACTATGGCCACAACACCACACAAACTATGGCCACAACACCACACAAACTATGGCCACAACACCACACAAACTATGGCCACAACACCACACAAACTATGGCCACAACACCACACAAACTCTGGCCACAACACCACACACACTATGGCCACAACACCACACAAACTATGGCCACAACACTGCCTCCTGTGACACACAACACCACACAAACTCTGGCCACAACACCACACAAACTATGGCCACAACACTGCCTCCTGTGACACACAACACCACACAAACTCTGGCCACAACACTGCCTCCTGTGACACACAACACCACACAAACTCTGGCCACAACACCACACAAACTATGGCCACAACACTGCCTCCTGTGACACACAACACCACACAAACTATGGCCACAACACTGCCTCCTGTGACACACAACACCACACAAACTCTGGCCACAACACCACACAAACTATGGCCACAACACTGCCTCCTGTGACACACAACACCACACAAACTCTGGCCACAACACTGCCTCCTGTGACACACAACACCACACAAACTATGGCCACAACACTGCCTCCTGTGACACACAACACCACACAAACTCTGGCCACAACACCACACAAACTATGGCCACAACACCACACAAACTATGGCCACAACACTGCCTCCTGTGACACACAACACCACACAAACTCTGGCCACAACACCACACAAACTCTGGCCACAACACCACACAAACTATGGCCACAACACCACACAAACTATGGCCACAACACTGCCTCCTGTGACACACAACACCACACAAACTCTGGCCACAACACCACACAAACTATGGCCACAACACTGCCTCCTGTGACACACAACACCACACAAACTATGGCCACAACACTGCCTCCTGTGACACACAACACCACACAAACTCTGGCCACAACACCACACAAACTATGGCCACAACACCACACAAACTATGGCCTCAACACTGCCTCCTGTGACACACAACACCACACAAACTCTGGCCACAACACCACACAAACTCTGGCCACAACACCACACAAACTATGGCCACAACACCACACAAACTATGGCCACAACACTGCCTCCTGTGACACACAACACCACACAAACTCTGGCCACAACACCACACAAACTATGGCCACAACACTGCCTCCTGTGACACACAACACCACACAAACTATGGCCACAACACCACACAAACTATGGCCACAACACTGCCTCCTGTGACACACAACACCACACAAACTCTGGCCACAACACCACACAAACTATGGCCACAACACCACACAAACTATGGCCACAACACTGCCTCCTGTGACACACAACACCACACAAACTCTGGCCACAACACCACACAAACTCTGGCCACAACACCACACAAACTCTGGCCACAACACCACACAAACTATGGCCACAACACCACACAAACTATGGCCACAACACTGCCTCCTGTGACACACAACACCACACAAACTCTGGCCACAACACCACACAAACTATGGCCACAACACTGCCTCCTGTGACACACAACACCACACAAACTATGGCCACAACACCACACAAACTATGGCCACAACACTGCCTCCTGTGACACACAACACCACACAAACTCTGGCCACAACACCACACAAACTATGGCCACAACACTGCCTCCTGTGACACACAACACCACACAAACTATGGCCACAACACCACACAAACTATGGCCACAACACCACACAAACTATGGCCACAACACCGCCTCAGTGACACAACAACAACAACAACAACAACAGCCAACAGTGACAATTGTTTATTTACATACCCAAAAAGTATACACAGTCATGTAAGTATGCACATGCACATAGTCATGTAAGTATGCACATAGTCACATATACATGCACATACAGTCACGATATATACACACATATTCTCTTAGACATATATATATATATATATATATATATATATATATATATATATATATATATATATATATATATATATATATATATATATATTATATATAATTGCCCTTTCCACCTCCCCTTCCTCCTCTCTTTCTGCTATTAACACACACACACACACACACACACACACACACACACACACACACACACACACACACACACACACACACACACACACACACACACACAACAACAACAACAACAATAACACACACACACAATACTTACAACCATGACAGCATTAATGGTAGTGATGTAGTCAGTCTCCTTGAGGCCATTGGACATCTCTTCGTTGAAGAAGAAGCTAATATTCTGGCGATAGGAGACGGTGCCTTTGGTGTGATTCCAGTCAAGGTTGTACTTCTCACGGACCTCCCTAGTCAAAGGGAAAATGAGCTTACTATCACATCATGCTAATTATTATTAACACGAACTCAACACAAAGACAAAGAAAATAGACACAAAATATGTGAGTTTAAGGGACGTCAACATCAGATACAAGACCTTGCAACACAGTCCACTGGGAGCATTGCATCTCACTTCACAAATTGTTGTAACCCAGGCCAAAGACGGGCAACATTTTTATTGTCTCCCCGTAGATCACCAAACCTTCCCTGCAAAATTTTCTCACGTGCCAACAGAAATTTTTGGGAACATATTATTTTGTGCCTTTTATGTGTTGGGAGAACCTTTCAAACAATCAAATATCACTAGAGCGGTAAAATTAAAGAATATTCTAAGAGGGATTATTGTAAGTCAGGTGAGAGTGAATAAATGTAATATTTAGTGATGGAATGTTTACTTAAAGGTCGTTCTACCCTGTCGATAGCCTAGATATTTTATTAATCTTTAACTGTAAGTCTCGCTGCTGTATATGGACACAGCTTGGAAAGCAGAGAAATTTCTGGGGGAAGAAAAACATAAGTCTATCGGGTAGCCCCAGGCAGCGCGTGCAACAAACAGAGGTACTTAAGCGGCGCGGGGCGGAGGCTGTGACCTCTGTTCACCTCCAGTCGCCGCCCCCATCTCAAGCAAGGTCACCACCATGCATCTCCACCACCTCGACACCCACGTGACCTACGACCCCAAGTACCACAGAAGTTAGAATTTCAGAGGTTTATTTGCAGCCCAGCATGGATACGGCACCAGCATCTGCAGTCCCTGACCTCTGCCTTTCCGACATCATTGCTGCGGCCCGTCGACTTCCAAGGGCGACGGGAACGGGATTTTGGGTTTAACGACCACTACCCTAAGGTACTGTTTAGTTTCCTCTCAGTTGACGAAATCCGTGCTCCCCCTCTTCATGCTCGCCCTTAGTGAGCTAACAACGTGTGCTTAGCGTCTGTGTACTCCCCAAGCGTGTGGACATGCCTCCCCAAGCGTGTGGACATGCCTCCCCAAAAAAATTCCCAGCCTCTGTTCTCGGGCTGTGGTAGGACTCGCCAGGACGGGGACCGGTCAAATGGGCCGTATTAGGGCAAGCGTCTCCCTGGGCCGCACTGCCATGTCTCGGTGGAGGAGCAAACCTTCCAGGCTATGGCGCGGCGACTATGTGTTTGGTGGAGTCACACACACATGCAACGGGGTCCACGGCCACGCGCCTGGTCGAGTTCTCACTCACACGCCTGGGGTGGCGACCACGTGTTGGTTTGAGCCTGCCTCATGAGGTGGCATAACACTGAAGGGGATGGTTGAGAATGCCCTCGCTGGGCGACCACGTGTTGGGTGAGCATTCACTAGCCGCTCTACTATCCGCACATGCGGCCTTATTACGGCCACACTCTAAGAGGCATCCCCCCTCTTTCTTTTTTAAGTCTGACCATGTGGGCATTTAAGTGGCTATTCACTTCCCTTTATTTCAACAGGAAAAATTTTACCACTTATTTTCCTAGTTGTCCCACGGTGGGCCAGAGCCACGTCTGCTCTCCCCAGATGGACTCGTCTGCAATGCGTCGCCCGGAGGGGCTGTTGTGGCTTCCAAGACCGCTAGCTTATCCAGAGTACTTGTCAGGATAGGCCGCCCGTTCCAGCCCCCAGGTCCGTGTGGTCACTTCTTAAAAAGTTACTAATTTTATTAGTGATTTCACGCTTTTATTCTTTGCCTTATTCTTTGGCCTACATGCCATATCCCCCGCAGCCTACATGACTTTCAATGGCCTAATGTGCCTCTTACTATGACTGGGCTATGTCCCTTCTATGACCCTGCAGCCAAGACAGCAGATGACGGCGATAAACTCTGCTCGTCCTGGTGCGATGTTGGAGCAGGACGGCATGGAGGCGCCCGCTTGTGCCAGCCCACTTACTCCCAATTCCTACGACTCCAGCAGCTAAGACAATTTATTACCCTTCTTCTCAATGCAGTTGTACTAGATTTGATAGTTACCTTCCACTGCTACAATATACGCATGTTGGTGGAGTCGAAGAGATATTATTCTCTTTTCAACAGCCGAATTCTTCCTATGGCCAACACAGTAACTCAAAATGACTCTCCCTCATTCCCCCTCAGTTGCTGAAAATTCATCTTTCCCTCTAGCCTACTGGATAAAAATTTCTGCATTCTATTAGTATATCCCCTTGTAGCAGTATGGTTACTCTTCATTCTCAACTTTAAACCTCCCAATTTCTTTTTGCGTAACTTCAACATTGTTTTCGTGCGTTTCCCTCCTACCGCAGTTATGCTGTGCGCAGTTATTATTGTGGCAGTGGTATTATTCCTGATTTTTCACCCTTAGTATTGTTCTTGAATGCTAACTTCCTCTTTACCTGCGGTTTGCATATACTTAACCTGTTTATTATTCAGGCTTTATCATTAAATGACAATTTTGGTCCAGTCTCATTTGCCCGGCAGTGTCATTCCTTGTACGGCCGCCAGTTTAACTGCAGATATTGCCTAGATTTATCATTGTTCTACCTGCGACTGGATGGGGGGCGGTGTGCAGGACAAACATATCAAGTGTGTCACTAGCTCTCCACATATGTCAGTTGCTTAATTTAGAAACTACTTGTGGTCGATCTCGAACCCATTGATCATGTGACGACTTATACTGAATCTTGTAACTCGCTCATCAAGATTGTAACTTGCTTAGCTAAATGAATTGTGGGGTTCAGTCCCTGAGTCCATTATGTGCCTCTGTAACCCTTTCCACTATCGCCCACAAGATGGGTATGGGGTGCATAATAAATGAACTAAATTAACTCTACCTGCGATACCATTTTGGCTTCTTCTCTTTACCTAGAATTTCTAGGTAAATGTAGGGTAAATTTCTAGGTAAATTTCTAAATTTACCCCCATTGTTGACTTCTAAATGACTGCATGGTGACCTGTACATTAATGCTTTGCTTTCTTGATCGCTAGGGCAGGGACACCCACGCTCTCCGCGATGAAGAGGGCAAGGCCTACGTCTACGTGTGGACAATGACAAGAACGCAGCCGCCCAGGATGAGGACAAAGCTGGCCTGCTTCGCATAGTCAACTACAGAGGACACGTCCGGAGACTCTGACTGCAATGCCGATTCTATGGCGGACACCTAGCCTCGGGCTCTGGGTGCGAGACGTGCGACTATACAGCGACCATGCCTGTCGGAAGAGGACTGGGAAGACCTCCGGACGCTCCTCGTTTAGTCGCAGACTACCATCAACGCCACCGCCCGATACAACACGGGGACCTCAGTGGCAACCACTGCACGGCAAGAGCCTGCTGTGAAACATCCCCCATGGCACATGCCTCTCAGTAGCGCCGTGTCATTCCTGGGTGGGGGCACGAGACTAGGCGACGGTACCGCGACTACAGCTCCACCTCATCAAGTGACTTTTGATGGGTGAGCATGTCTCCTCCCCCCCCCCCTCCTCTCCAGCTTCTGGCCCGGGCTTCTCCCGGGTATAACCGGCCAGGACATTCACCTACTTAGGGACGCACGTCCCGATGTAGTAGTAGTAGGCATCCATCAGTCTCAAGAGACTATGGAGTTGCGCTCTGGTTGTCGGTCTGGAGTGGCCTCACCAGGGCGCAAAGCCAGGGTAGGTTGATTCGGGGGAGATGCTGGTACCCAGGCAGCAGGTCCCTCCTCTCCACGGCGCTGAATGTCTCCAATGGAAAGGCATACGCCAATACGATTGGTTCCAGCGCCGTCGCAGGAACTGTGAGTTCCGGGGATGATCTTGAAGTTGGTGAAGAAGGGCACAGGGACCTCCAACCCCAGAGAATGACCCTCAAGAAAAAGATATAAGCCAACAAATATGTTGACCTGCAGGATTTGCTGGCCTACGACCAGGACGCCGATCCCACCGAGCTCTGCCCCCCGGGCGGGATCCAGACGATGCAGGACCCGGTGGTGCAGGCCACAGGCAAGAAATTGCCGCCTTTAACAGGCGAATAGGAGGCACAAAGCTTCGCCTCCTACATGATGATATACCTGGCGGGCACCTATCGGAATGACGGGTGTATGTAGGCCCTGATCACCTACATGCAGTACATGGAGTCCATGAAGGAGGGACTGCGCGGGGGGGGGGGGGGGCTGAATGTGGTTCGCCAGATGCTTCCGGTGGGGCAAGAAAATGTACGGCTGCTCCTGGTGCTCATACAGGCTTGACCTCGAGCTGTGCTTGATGCACCGACCCTCACATGGCAGCCTACTGCACCAGGATACCCCGCCGGACGCTCGGCTGGACAACTGCCCCCCTACTGTCAATCCTCCGGGTCCTCGCAGGTTACTGCTACGCCTGCCACACGAGAGGGATCGGCTGCATCTCCGGCGACTGTCCCTACAAGCATACATGCCCGCATTGCCATGGGCAGCACCCTGCCTTCGGTCAGTGTCCCTCGAGCCCTTCACGAGACTACCCTCCCAAGAAACAACGTGCAGATAGGAGGAACTATCCAGTGAATTTGGCTACTGCTGCCAGCTAACGCTCGCCCTTCGAGGCGGGTGTTTCCGTGTCGCTGGCCTGGCGGACCGACCGGGGTGCTCCACCAGAAACCCCAAGTGATATGCTGGTTAACTGCGGTAACACAGCTACCTCATAATTATTTAAGAACATATTTAAAGTTTTACTAAGAATAAATTTACACTGCTCAAATTAGTAACAATGAAACATTACGGTAAAAATGAACGATTTCTAGGTACATGCAAATAGTAATTAACAAGGGTTAATCCATTCATTTAAAAAGGTAATAATAAAGGCACATTTTAATTAATATTTGTAAATTAAATATTTATACATTTATTTTATAATTAATAAATAAGTTCCCTCATTCTATGCGCAAGTTTTTCTTCCCGCCCAGAAAACAGTGTTAAAATAAAACCAACATAAATTATGTTATATTATAATTTAACATGTTAAAATGATGCACTGTTGGTCCACCTGCCAAGGTGTGG